AACCGGTAACCAGGAATCGGAAAGAGCAGCAACCTCCGGGGAAACGTAGTTTTCACTAGCTCCACTATCAATCAAGATCTTGATCTCATTACCTTTAAAGGTACCAAGGTAAAGAGGGAGTTTAGTAGCAACAGTATTTAGTTCTGACAAGTACTGGAATTCGGAGATCAGGTTATCGACAGAATGCACAATACGTAGCAGTTCTTGAGTAACCTTCTTAACTGATTCAGTAGGCAAAGAAGTCGAAGCAACAGGAGGAAGGATAGGCACAATAGGATAAGAGTCAGAACTAGCTATTTTATTATTATTAAATATTGTAACAGAGGGCTTGTTAATAATATTATTATAATCTTTAGCAGGTTATATACTATGAAGGGGGGGAAGGTTTTCAGGAGGCTTATGTAGTTGAACTTCCGGTTTATCAACTACATTCAATGAAAATCCTTCTTGTGATTCGAGGGACCGTTAGAAGAGCGAAACTTCTGATATCTCTCTTGTTCGAGCTTCCTAATGTCATTTGTTGTAGAATAGGAACTAGTCAGGCAGTTAAGCATATACAAATAGTATGTACTCCGGCGTATAATGATAAATAAGGATATTAAGTGTGACAGCATGTCTACTGATCACAAACAATAAGTGATAATCCATAATTCTTATACATCTCCATACTGGCTTTATATTTACCTCAACCAAGTGAGTTGATAACTCCTATACTTCCATATCAGTTACGGGATTCATTCTTAATTATAGTGAATCAATAACCATGACCAATGATCTAAATTCTCCCACACATCCTGTACTCGCCTATTCTAATCATTCTTATCCTCCATCATCTATAGGTTCATTTCACAGTTACTCATCCATAAGCCATCCTAAAGAACATGTGGAATCATCTGTCATGTCCTTGTCGCTTATTCAAACAAGACAAGGAAACATATAAATACAACAATCATCTCAAGAGATTAAACGGGGTCTTTTCCTGACAGAAGATACTTTTATTATTACCTTTATTCTCACAATAAATACTAGTCTCAAAAAGTATTCCTTGCTGTCTCTATAATCTATTTCATACATTTATACTCTTTATTAAATCTCATTATATTTCATCATTCTTTCTCTTTTCACAATCAGTACGGCGGTGACCTTTGATTCCACACCAGAAACAGGTGAGGTTACTGTTTCTACGGGAGCGAGTCTCAGCAACGTCTAGATCCATAGGATCGTCCTGGTATTCCCGTTGTACAGGGCGTGGTGGGCGATCGGGGTACCTCCTATAGTAAGAACCAACTTTGTACTGAGCAGCATCGTAGGACATGGCTATATGGATAGTTTCTTGAAGAGTCTCGGTATTCTTGTGTCTAATCTCTGCACAAATATGCCTGTTGGATAAACCACGCATAAAGCGATCACATGATTCATCCTCAGATATTCCAGACAGAGCAGCAATGATATCCATATATCCGTTAATGTAGTCCACCAAAGATCCAGTGTGACGGTAATAAGCCAATTTGGCACGTCTCTCAACATACAATGGTCACAATGCTTCTTATACTCTATGGTGATTCCATAGATGGAATAACCAGTTTTATATTTATTACAATAGCTTAATTCAGTGAAATTGTTTATTCTATTTATAATAAAATACATTTGATATGCATTACATACAATAATAACCAAAATAACAACGTCTATATGACGATTTATGATATTTATCTGTCCAATAGTAACTGTGTATATGATGAGCATGTATCCAATAGAGACTCTATATATGAATCTTTTGTCCGAGTTAATGTCACTTGATTAAAAATGGCCGCTCCGAAGTATTACGACTGATAAGATCCCGTCCGTTAAATTGTTAGATTCGTATACGTCCTGAAAAGTCGGACTATTCCGCCTAAATCAGTCGTTCTGTCCGTTATTAGTCTTCCAAATCTTTCATAGTGCAAAAAGTAAGAACTGTATACAATAATAAAGATATTCATAAATACTGACTATATTCTTGGTAATGCAGAGGTTGGTGAAGTTGATTGAGTATGTAGATTAGTATATACAGAGGGTGTAAAGTGAAAGTGGATACCAGAAACAAGACAAGGTAGATAAATAGAGAATAGAGAACAAGCAAAATAACCACTCATACAAATATTATACCAGGGTGTTGATGATGGGGAATGTAGAAGTGGAATGCACAGTCATTGGAACAGCAGCAGTCGAGCAGATGGTTTAATGGATTAGATATTATAGCAATATGAGAAGTCTAAAAGATGTATGAACTGTATACAGCATCCATAATATACATAAATACTGAGAGTATTTTTAGTGATGTAGTGTCTGATGGGGTTGAATGAGTGTGGAGATCAGTTGTTCAGTAGACTGGAAACATACAGTGGAAGTGGATATATGTAACAACTCAGGGTGAATATATAGTAAATAAAAAACAAATATATAAAAAAAAAGAAAAGGATAAAAATAAAAATAGATAAACAAACTCTCACACACATATTTATATTTCTAGGGTGTCAGTGATGGGAATGTCGAACATCACAGTTCACTTATCAGGAGAATTGAACATAGACAACGATAGAGTACGTCGATATAATTAGTCAGAGTATGAATGCAGTGCACGTAGGAACAACTAAATACAGGTGCACCTTTGAAGATGATAAAGTACACAGTGATGCAGGATGGGATCAGGTGGAATGAGGACGGTATGTCGACCGACTATTCTCTCTTTTGTTTATATAAGGTAAAAGAAAATAGCTACAGTATATCTAACACGAGTAATTGCTGACACATATGTGGACATAGTGTATCGAAGGTTGAAATATGGAACATCATCCGAAACTTGATGATAAACAGTATAAACAGCTATAGAATAACAATACATAATATGGTCCAATTAAACAGTACTTGTAGGCAGTGGTTATTAAAGCAGATAAATGATAGTACTGATGTAAATAAGATTAATGTGCATAGAATGTGAATGAAGACTGATTATGAATAGAGGTATAGATGCCAAGGGAATTACTGTTGTCTTACAATATTTGAATGGGTGTTATGTATTATAGACTCTTCGTATATGCATACAGAATGACCTGTCGTTCATCTATCTCTCTTGAGTATTGACTGAGGATCCGTGGAGATATATAATGGAATTTGGCATACTCTAATTAATCTGGATTCACACTCTGTAACAGCGAAACATAGACTGGGCATACAATATCTCAATCTTGGATAGCAGTACAAACTTATGGTATGGATGATGAAGACCAGTTTATGCCTGTCTATCTTACTAATAACAATTGAAGATAATAGATCTAATATTAACTTCACCCTCTGGTACACGATAATTAAATTGGATCACCACCGAGTATCACCAATAATTGACCTGAACATACAATATCATAATGGTCACTCATGGAACACCTTATCAGTATACATCCTGTTACTTGTCGACTTGATAGCTATTTCTTGATTCTTGGTTGAACATACTACAGTTTGTATTGGATGGATACTTTAAATTGTGGACTACGTACATTATTCATCTGAGATATAAGGGGTTGGTCTTTTAGAGCTGACCATATATATAACTGATTGGGATTGATAGAGACCAAGTGTTGGTATTCAATAATCTGTGGGAATCACAATAACTTACTGAGGTGCTTTATTCAAATTCTGTACCTGTATGTAACCTGGATAGACATGTTTAATGAGATTGCTGTATCACTTAGATGTATTTATAAAGCGAGGAAGCTGTTAATGGCTGACTAAATATATGAGATTATACATAGTGCTTGATAATACTATTTTAGCACTGTTATATGTTATCTTTATCATGCTTAATTGCCTTTCAGTGAGTAATACCTTAAACCCACCACACATGATACGCTTCAATATACAAATAGATGCTTTTGGGACGGAGTATAATAATACCACCCTTGTAAGGTTTTTTTTTATTTTTTTCTTTCCCAACTTCTCTTTCTTTCCTTTATCTAATAATGACTATTCATAAATATAATAAAATATTGTAATCAAGGTGCCTGTGCAGTAGATGGAAAGAAGGTAATGACAATCATGTTCCACATGACAAAATGTAGGTAGCAAATAGTCTGAATAAGTACTATTATAAAATGTAATCATAAATAGTATAGATAGAGACTATAATATGTATTCAAAGAAGGTACACTACTTTTATCTACCAATATCAATATATACTCTTTCTGACTGTTACTATCATTCCCTCTGGTGTCTCTCTGAATACTCATAGTTTGGCTTTCCTTATCTCTCTTTATGATGTATCTTTTATTCTTCTACTAGTGTATTCTTTTTATTGGTTATCCATCTGGGAGTGCTCTTTTTGATTATCCATTATGCTTTATCTTCTGGTACGTCTGTATTAGGTTTTAGGCTAAGGGTTGTCTGTATCTATGTTGCCTGTCTTATGGTGTTTTGGTCTAAGTGTATACGTAATATACCCAAGAGTAATCACTTATTATCATACTCATATTTCTATTATTTATCAGTGATACTCTCTACGATAAAGTACCTTGTGTTGTCTTATATGATGTATGACTAGGTGTTGCTGTATATTCAGTCTGGTACTTATTATTGTATGATGCCCATGTTGTGTAGTAAACTAAATTTCTCTTATTAGATATCTTACTTGTATCAAGAGGTTCTAAGTAACTAATACAACATATAACGAAATCAATACTGAGGACTTTGGTAATAAAAATGTTATAAATGTAAAAAGACGAAGAAGTAATGAGACTCTGTGTACTCTTTAATTAGGTGCAAAATGCGAGACAGAGCTCATTATTAAAAGAAGACCCTTGTTATATGGGCTCGAATGATCGGTTGTGTAATTATTTCGTATAACATTAATATTAAATTAGTCCTTTAAAGAGCGTTATTACATACGAATCTTATATAATCAGGAGCAAATACGACAAAGGTGACAATATGCGACACATAAAAAAAACAAATTTGTAAAATATTTCAATTAGCATTTGCTTGTTTCGATCAAGCGACCTTAGGGTTATGGGCCCTACGCGCTTCCTACTGCGCCAAAATGCTTATTTTTTGTAATATTCTTAGTAGATCAAGACCAGATATAGATAATTGTATAACCAAGATACTTCTTTTAATAGCAATTAAAAGAATACACGTAAAGTGAAGTTTATAGTAAAGATAAGATGAAGTTTATTTCCTATGCAATTTCATTGCATATTTATATGTTTTTGAGATATGAATATAAGATGATGTTTACATAGAGGAATTAAGGGATAGAATATGATAGAGAATATAAATAGTATAAGGAAGTATGAATGATGAATAATACATAGTGAATAGAATATACAATAGAAAATAATATGAAAGTAATATGATAGAACAATGGGATAATCATAAGAAAAGAATCTAACACCAAGGAATCAGATGAAGGGGAGCCAGAAGGATAGTCAGGATATCTACTTGTTGTTCATATGAAGAGCTGTCAAATATGGTATCGTTGTAATACTGCATTCTAATTGGTCGGAGGATTGGGTCTGGGTTTTGCACGTTTATTCGCTGGTATTCTAGGCTTGAATTTTCGCTTATTTAATTGCACAGGCGCGTGTGGCCACAAGGGTTCTAAATTGAGCTTGACTGTGTCTTGGACACCGACATTACCCCCCTCTAAGACTTGTGTTCGACTCTGAACACTTAAAGGCTGAACAGAAGGAACAGGATCAGGCATAACAGAGGGTATAGGTTTAAGCATAGGGGAAAACGGCTTAGGAATATCAGCGATATCAGACATAGGTAACACAGGTGGATCACTATTAGAGGACATAGGAACATTAAGAACAGAGGAAGGACCAGGAGACATAGAGACATTAGACGAAGCAGGAGCAGGAGACATACACATACTTGGAGAGACTGGACTTGAAGACATAGATACATTAGGAGAAGCAATAGAAGGTGATGGAATCATAAGAGGTGAGACCATAGGTGTTGAATCATGAGGAGGCATAGGGGCATTGACTGGACTTGGTTCAACAGGATTTATTGGTTCTTCAATATCTTCATTCATTGTGTCTTCAGTATGGTTATTGATGATTTCAACGGGATCAATAGGGTCTATTTCGTCATCGGATATATCTATGACAATTGGGCGGTTCTGGGCTGGACTACTGGTTACCGGTAACTGACTAGTGTCAACTTGCTTCATGACTTCTCTCACTTGTCTTCGAGCAGAAGTAGGGTCATACCATGGTTCAGCAGGAGTAGTACCATGAGCGGCTAATAGACGGTCTACATGTACCAAGGACTTGAGCGGTTCACCAGTTACTGTTTCCAACTTGACTGTACCATAATCAGGGTATACTTGTACAACTATGAATGGACCTTTAAATCGAGGCTCCAATCCAAAGCGGCCTTCGTGTGTAAGCATGACTAGATCACCAACTTCATATGTCTTCTTCTTTATAGTAGCATCCCATCTTTCTTTGTCTTTTTCTGCCATGGCCTTCATACGAAACTCAGCAGCGGCACGATGTTGTCCAAGATCGGATAACTGTCTAGAAGTGATGTCAGCTATTGTACGAGGATCCTTGAAAGTGTCTTTATTGATGTACGGAATAGAAATGTCTCCAGGAAGCCTGGGCTCACGACCATAAGTTAAATAAAACGGCGAATAACCAGTAGTAGCATGTTCTCGGATACGGCATGCCCAAAGTGCAGCATTGACAAACTCATCCCATCTGTGTATGGCACCATTGGTATACTTGCGTAACATATCCTTCAGGACTCCATTAAACCTTTCAACCTTAGCATTAGTCCTAGGGTGATAAGCAGAAGTAAGTTTGTGATTAGTTTTAACTTTTTTCATATAAGCTTTTAATAAACCACTAGTAAAATTAGCTCCCCTGTCAGTTAATATCTCAGAAGGACATCCAAATCTCATCATTATTTCTTCATATATAAAATCTGCTACAGCTTCAGTTGATGCTACGGGCAAAGCACGAGCAATTGGCCAATTTGTTGAGTAATCTACAGCCACAAGTAACCAACGGTTACCTCTAACGGTTGTCGGCAGTTCTCCAATGAAATCGATGTGCCAACGATCAAAGGCTGAGGGGACTTTCAATGGGTGCATCTCATGATTGTGAAAGTTTCCACGTCTTCTATTAACTTGACACTCAGGGCAGGACACCAACCAATTTTTTACATCGGTACGCATGTTGGGCCACCAGGCACGAGGAGGTAACACCTTCATCATATTCATCAAGTTAAAGTGGCCGAATGCTTCATGAATACCAGCCACAGTTTCGGCACGAGAAGCAAGAGGGACAAAAGGAACGAGCTTAATTTTGTCACCATCAATGGGGACCTTACGATAGACTTTGTTATTGTCTATCACAAACTTGCTTCTTTCTTTGTCTAGATGATCTTTCAATGCAACGTTAGTTAACTTATTAAGATCATTTTGATTACCGAGGTATAACAGAGGCCAATCGGCTTTCATATCTTCAGAAGACCATTTCGAATCTTTCTTCTTTAGTGAAGTGGTGTACAAATATATGGGTTCAATGGATTCTTCATTGTTATTATCGGTGTCAGGGCTGGGTAATCTAGATAACACATCAGGAACATTGTTATCTTTTCCAGGTGTGTACTGAATATTGGGTGCAAAAGATTCCAATTCCGCAATCCATCTCACAAGACGAGGTGTTGGTTTCTCTTGACTTCTAAAATATTTAAGAGGTAAATGGTCAGAGTATACCGTATATCCGGCAGGACATCCATCTATAAAACAACGCCATGTACGGAGAGCATGGATTATTCCAAGAAGTTCCCTTTCTTGGGCAGGGTAGTTCTTTTCTGCATTGGATAGTTTCTTGGATTCATATGCCACCGGGTGCCATTGTTTGTTGATATCATCACCGGGTTGGAGGAGTACAGCACCAACACCGAAATCTGAAGCATCAGTTTCTATCCTAAATGGTTTAGACATATCAGGTAATTCTAAAACAGGTGCAGAGGTTAGTAGTTCTTTAATCATATTAAAACTATTTTGGCACTCATTAGTCCATGTGATGGGTCTTTTCTTATGACCAGTTCCTTTGGTTAAATCAGTTAATGGTGTGGCAATCGAAGCAAAGTTGGGAATGAAACGTCGATAGTACTGAGCTAGTCCAATAAATGATCGGACTTCTTGTACGTTGGTAAGTGCAGGCCAGTTCTTGATACTTTGTACTTTGGCTGGATCAGGAAGTATTCCTTGAGGTGTAACTTTGTAACCTACAAAAACAAGTTCTCTTTTACCAAATTCACATTTCTTAAGGTTACCAATCAACTTTGCTTTTCTCAATCTATCCAATACATGTTGTACATGTTGTCTGTGTTCCTCTTCTGATTTACTGTATATCAATATATCATCTAAATATACTAGTGCAAACTTGTCGAGGCAATCACCGAGTACATTGTTCATTAAGTGTTGGAAGGTGGGAGGTGCATTAGTTAGTCCAAATGGAAGTACAAGAAATTCATATTGTTCATATCTAGTGTTAAATGCTGTCTTTGCTACATCATTAGGGTGTATTCTGACTTGGTGGTATCCACTCTTCAAGTCCAAACTGGTGAAATAAGTGGAACCCTGTAGTCGATCGAGGCATTCATCTATTCTAGGTAAAGGATGTTTATTTTTAGTAGTAACTTTATTCAGGGCACGATAATCGATGCACATTCTCATATCTCCATTCTTCTTCTTTACAAATAAGATTGGTGCTCCCCATGGTGATGTGCTGGGTCTAATTAGTCCAAGAGATAGTAATTGTTTAAGTTGTTTCTGGAGTTCGTCGAGTTCTGCAGGTGACATCTTGAATGGTGCTCTACTGATGGGCTTGGCATCCCCAGTGTCGATTACATGTTTCACATCACGTTCCGGAGGTAGTCCAGGGAGCTCATCTTTGAACACATCATTATACTGTTTCACTAACTTATTCCAGTAACTGTCTTTAGGTGAAGAATCTATGCTATATAAAGGTGAAATTGTAATATTATTAGTAGTAACATCGTTTATATACACAAAGTAACCGTCAGCTTGATGCTTTTTGATGAGACGATCCACTTGTTTGTGGGAGATGAGATAACTCAGTTGGGGTGATAGGTGTTGAGAAGATCGGTTATTAGGTGTGAGTACAGTTGTCATTCCATTTTGATTTAGGGTCCAAGTGTCAGTTATCCAGTCGGGTATAGCCTTACTTGTCTTTAACCAGGACTTGCCTAAAATTAAACCAAACTTATTAGGGAATATATACGCAGTAATCTGTTCTTTATAACCCCCAAGCCAATACTCATAACGATTTTCCTTTTAATTTTAGTGATTTCACCACCAGCAGTTTCCACATGTCTGTTCATTACAGGAATCAATTTGTCAGCAAGATCTACTAGTTCGGGTGATACATAGTTCTCACTGGCTCCACTGTCAATCAAAACGTTGATCTCTTGATTTCTATATGTTGCCGTGTATACAGGAAGTGTTGTATCGATTGCATTGAGTTCCACAATATGTTGTAGATCTTCAGTGATGTCTATGTGTTCAATTTGTTGCAGTTTCACAGGTACAGTTGTTAGTACATTCTTTCTTAGTGAGTCCATTCTTTTGGTGAATACACTTTGAGGTCTTAATACTGGGTACTGTTTCTCACTGAGCATCTGATCGGAAGAATAAGAGTCAAAATCGATTAGTTTATTATCAGTAGTATCATTATTATATGTGGGATGTGCAGAGTTAACTCAGTGTTATCATTATTATTATTATAAGAGGGAAGACTTAATGAAGAACGTGGTTGTGCTTCCATATTATCAACCACGTTTAGTGAAAATCCTTTCGGTATTGTTTCTGTCGCTTATCATCCAAAGCTTTGATGTCTGCACGTCGAACAGGACAAAGAGCTTTAAAGTGACCCTTTTTGTTGCAATAGAAACATGTGATATTGCTGTTATAATTGTTGTTGTTGCTATTCTTGAATCTTCCATTGTTCCTATTATAGTTGTTGTTATTGCTATTGAAGTTGGATGGCTATTATTGT